ATCGGTAATACTTCGTTCAGTTTTGTATTACTAATATCCTATTCTTAAATCATACAGAGTGTTCAAAATTCTAAATAAACTTTCTAAAATGAAATAAATTTTCTTCGTTTTTTTAAATGTAACACCGTGTATATTATTTTTTTCAATAAATGGAGAATTAAAAATGAGAACATTTCTTGTATTTTTAGAATATTTCAAAATTTTTAACGGTTAATAATTTAGGTCTTTCTATAGGAAATTCCGAGGGGTGTCTCCCTTGGGTAAAAAATGTACACGTACTGCCAAAATATCATGTTACTATCAAGCGACTGCCAATCAGAGCGAAGAAGACTGCCTATGACTGCCATGTAATTATTATAGATGACTGCCGTAAGACTGCCAATGACTGCCAGCGACTGCCAAGAAAATGTACATGTAATTCCGGTAGTGAGACACTCCTCGGGAAATTCAATCATATTTTCATATTCTTTTTTATTTTCTCAAAAACGGTATAGAAATTTGGAGAAGTATAAAAGGGGATTAACCATTTTAGAACAAGCAATTTTTTTTATGAAGAAGGTATTTTACTCAAAATGTCAATAATAAAAAAGTTTTACCCTGTATAAATCTAATGAAAAATACTTCCATAAATTTTTATAATACATTTATTCACTTGTATAACAAATTAAGAACAAATAAAAGAGAAAATATATTTAATTAATTTAAGATCCTCCTGGTTTAAGTGACCACACTCTGTAGTAAGATTAAAGTTCTGATACTTAATGTCCATGGTTATTATGGTTGTTATTATGATGTTCACCGTGGTTTTTATGTTTACCATTATGATCTTGATTGTTGTTATTATGATGGTTATGGCTACTACTGTGATTATCATTGTTATGACCGTGGTTATGCTTATCGTTATGATTTTCACCGTGGTTGTCATGATTGCCATTATGATCCTGATTGTTGTTATCATGGTGGTGATGGTTGCCATCGTCATTATGATTGTTATGACCGTGATTATCATCGTGATTATCGTGGTTGTTATCACCGTGATCGTGATGACCGTGATGATTGTTGGGCTCTGGTCCCGGCTGAGGCTCTGGTTCCGGATTAGGCTCCGGATTAGGCTCCGGATTAGGCTCTGGATTAGGATCTGGTTCCGGATTAGGCTCCGGATTAGGCTCTGGATTTGGATCTGGTTCTGGATTAGGCTCCGGATTAGGCTCTGGATTTGGATCTGGTTCTGGGTTAGGCTCTGGATTAGGATCTGGCTCTGGATCGGGATGTGGATCTGGATCTGGATCGGGATGTGGACCTGGACCAGGATCTAACGTTGGCTCGGGTTCTGGCCCTGGACCGGGATTATGAGTTGGTTCAGGTTCAGGACCAGGATTTGGAGTCGGGTCGGGATCTGGTCCAGGACCAGGATGTGTTGGTACATTGGTAGTTGTGGTCTGTGGTGGCCTAGTTGTAGTTGTAGGTAGTCTAGTTGTCGTTGAAGGAGTACTAGTAGTAGTTGTAGTCGCACTGGTGGTAGTAGGAGGCCTAGTAGTAGTCGTTGGGGCACTAGTTGTAGTTGTAGGTGGTTTAGTAGTAGTTGTGGGTGCGCTAGTTGTAGTTGTAGGTGGTTTAGTAGTAGTTGTGGTGGCACTAGTTGTAGTTGAAGGTGTCGTGCTAGTAGTAGTTGTAGGCGCACTGGTAGTAGTTGTAGGTGGTTTAGTAGTAGTTGAAGGTGTACTAGTAGTAGTTGTAGGCGCGCTGGTAGTAGTAGGCGGCCTAGTTGTAGTTGAAGGTGTACTAGTAGTAGTTGTAGGCGCACTGGTTGTAGTGGTAGGTGGTTTAGTAGTAGTTGAAGGTGTACTAGTTGTAGTTGTTGGAGCCTTAGTCGTAGTAGAAGGTGTACTAGTGGAAGTAGTTACATCGGACGCCGCTGTAGTTGTGGACCAACCGTACCCGGTACATGTTACTTTACTGGGTGAATCGCACACGTGTAAAATTTCGTCGAAATTCAGGCTAGCCGGACACTCAAACAGGTACGGCACTCCATTCGAACATTCCCAGAACTTTGAGCAATTTACAGCGGGAAAATATGTGGGCGTTGTGCCGTCTGTTTTAGGACAATCGGTAGCTAAAAATTACTTTATCAGAAAGAAGTTCAATAACTTAAACTTATTTAAAACTTACGAACTGGTTCATAGTCGTCAGTGAGTTGGCGAATAACAGCTGAAACATTAAAAACGAATGTTTTGATTGATTTTTATTAAATAAGTTCAAAAATATACAGTGCTTTATTATAATTATTAATATCTCTAATGAGCTAAGTAACATTAATTCAATTCAAGTATTATAAATAAGTTAAAAAAGTTAAGTTAAACGTCTTAACTACGTTTCTACAAGAACTTTATTTTGTAGATTTTTTTACAGTACAAGTGGCGAAATACCCATAGTACTTTTTTGAAATAATTGATGAGTGTTCTGGTGAACTAGCCATAGAAAATTCCTTATCCGAGATACATTAAGTAATGGGTTTAAAAACTTACCCGAGTATACGACTGGTGTTAGACAACAAACCAATAACACACTATAACGTACAGAGATCGCCATTTAGTTTGCCACCGACAAAATGTAAACTATAAACAGAATTTTTCAAATATATAGGTAAAGAATCTACTTAATCATTTTTATCTCGTACGAAATTAAAAATCGTATTGTTTTAATGACAATGTAATTGAAACAATTACATTGATTAATTAATAAATAAACTAAAAAAACTAAAGGGTCATTATTAGGTACATCCTCATTATATTCTCTTGTTCAAATTTTACTAAGATAAGTGTGGTAACAATCTAATAAAAATAATACTTGCTATATAGCTAGTTTTAAAAATAAATTAAGTAAATTTTTACTTTTCTGCCACTTATATCCTACACTATCTATTATAATCTAGTGCTTGAAAATGAAACTTGTTTACTTAAAATTAATTTTGCTTTTTACGTAAGTATTAGTGTTTTATAAGTTATTTTTTAAGGAATTTCCGTTGTATGTATTAAAAAACTAATCTTATAAATTCTTAGCAAAATTAAAATAATCATTCCCATATGTCTTTGATACGTACGGTACGTCGACGTTGGAAACATAGGAAATCCCATGCAAGATTTGAACTGTGCAAATATCGGCTTGGTATAGAACTACTGAGTGAAAAAATATCCATTTCCGTAATTGTTTACGTAAAAAAGGCCTCTTTGTAAAAATTGCTGCGAGCAAAGGTTTTCAAGATATTTGGAAAGGAAATAGTCAATACATGTCACTATTGACAAAAAATAAGTAACATATTGATAAGATATTTTTTTACGTAAACAATGACGAAAATGTATATTTTTTCACTCAGTAGTGTAATACAGGTACGGACAAAAAGTTATTACTCTTCAAAACAGCTAAAAAATATATAGGTGGCGTCCTCTACAAGTAGGAGTCATACTGATATGGAGATCGAATTTTTCGTGTCAAAAAAACACGCAGATACCAATTTTCATCCAAATATCGCTCAGAAATTATTTTGAAAAAATCGAAATAAAAATGAAACGTCTACACTCTGTATCTCTAAAACGAATTTTAGGACATAAATTTATACGAACTTTGTTACTTATTTTTATCTGTACCCCCTGTAAAGGAAATCATTCAATTGTGACTTGAGTTGAAGTTGGGCGCAGTCAAGCGGCTGATTGTCCACTTAGGACACTATTTTCAGTATTACTACTTCACTATTTTTAGTATTTCAGTTACCTTATGAGATTCATAATACAACTAGTGGTGTTATGGATCTAAAACACAACTAGTTTTTATAATAATGAAAAACAACTAAAAATGTGACAACAAAAATGTGACAAATGTCATAGTTAAAGGTGGACGACAAAGCCCCATACTCACACTTCGCTCCTTCGTCCCTTCCTCGCTTTACTTCCTCGCGTTCCTTCGTCCTTTCGCTTCCTTCCTTCGTCCATTCGATGCATGGAAATTAGTCGATTATGCAACAACACACCACAAAATATTTTTAATATAGCAGCTACATGTTTATTACGAAATATCTAGTAACCTCTAAAATTTTTAAAAAATCCGAAAGGCGCATAATTTTTATTTTATAAAACTGCAATTCTTTGTCGTGTAAAAAATAAAAATTGAATTTTGATAATATTTATATTTTTTTAATAAATCCAACTATTTCAGTATCATGTACAAGATATATCAGTATGAATGTACAAGGCGAGTCAACAATAGAGTAAAGTTTATTATATAATTTATATCGAAACTAGGAAATATGACATACTAATTAAACGTTGATGTCAATCCCCATTTCTTCAGATATTTTTGTAAAGGCATCATGCACACTATTTCTATTTTTTTTTATTTTTGTCGCTACGATTACATAAATATGAACCAAATATGAAGACAATACTGTTTTTTTCTTCCATTTTTTAGACTACTGTGTGTGAATTATTTTTATATCGACTGGCGATTGCTAGATGTACAGGATGTCCCATTTTGGTGTGTTTTATGGGGTTTCTGGTTTATGAGTAGAGATATAAAGATGCCGTTTTCACATCATTGTTCTACTTATTATGAAACTAAATATGCTACACACAGATTTATCCTAGCCTTCTTAGTTCAAGGTTATTTCTTATTTCTTTCTTTTACTTTTTATTTTTTAATTAGTAGAAATTTTTGCATTTTTTGATAACCTAGCCCGTGTCTCGTTTTTCAGGTAGAATGCAGTGACGAAACTAGTTCTTCGTTCGGAACTGTCTATTTCGAAAAATGACTCAAACTTATGCTCTTTTTTTAAACAGGACACTCTATATATTATTTTTTATTTTATTTGCCTTGTTATGAGCTTTCTAAAATTATAATATACTCTATATTTATTTACTTAGGTACTGCTAAACTGTTAAACGGCTCTTATTTTATTTAACTTAATTTTATCAGATAATTTTGCTTTGCATCGTGATATCTTGATAAACTACACGGAAACTGAACTTGTGCTGCTTTTAAATAACATGCCAATAACCAACATTTTACGTCGAATAAATTAGTTGATTGTTTTGATTACCTAATTTAAACCGACCGACTATGTAATAAAGTTAAATAATGCATTTTTACCCCGTTTATGAAAATAAGTATTTTAGAAAGCCCGTAACAAGGAAAATAAAATAATATACAAAATATCGCATTTAAAAAACATATAAGTTTTAGTCAATTTAAAAAAGACAGATTCCAACGAAGAAATAGTTATGTCACTGCATTCTACGTGAAAAACTGTACGGGAGATCGTTTTCACCTTTTCGATAAGTTATGATACAAAGGGGATCGAAAAATGCAATAATTTCAGATTCGCCCTGTATTTTAGGAAGTAAGAGAACTAGGACATATCTGTATGTAGCATCGTTCGTTTCATAAAAAAGTAACAGCGTAATGTGAAAACCGCATCTTTGTATCTCGACTCATAAACGAGAAACCCTGCAAAACATACGAAAATGGGACACCCTGTACAGACGTACTGCCAAATCAAGAAATCATCTACGAATGAAATCCAAGATCGATTTATATATTTTAATATTTTTTTGTGTTCGTGATAATTCCTTTTCTACTTCCTCCAAAAACCAACAGTACGGGTTTGCGGTACGGGGAAGGAGCGTTTCGAGGAAGTAAACGGACGAAGGAGCGTTTCGACGAAGGAACGAAGGAACACACAGTCGCATAAAATCGACATTTCCCATAGTAAATATAAGATTTGTGGACGAAGGGACGCGACGAAGGAAGGAAGTGAAGTAGCGAAGTGTGAGTATGGGGCTTAATAAACGAAAATTAAAACAGCATTTTCTTATTTTTCGGTTGTAGATAAAACCCTTGTATATGAATTTTTAAAGTAGCTCAACCTAAGACGTTTATGGATGTAAAGCACCAGGTGGCGGGGCGTATTTCACGGTCTTTTACTACAGAAAAACATTTTTTGTTACTCTGAATTTGAATTTTGAAGCGACCAATAAAAACAGAGAAAATAAAAATCGATAATTTTCGGACTGTGCCAATTGGTTACTAATAGCCCAGATACTTTTTGTCTATTAGATATGGTATAAAACCTGGTAATTATATACAATTCGACCATTGTAAATACCCGACAAATTCCGCAAGGCCGACGAGACCGATGCTTTTCCATGATAAGAAAAAAAAATGTTTGTTTAGATCATTTTCGAGATATTTTTTCTTTCTGAATGCACATTTTTAAAGTATTTTATATTCTTTGTCCGCTTGATCTATTATACTGGTCGCACGTATCGAAGTTCTGTTTCTTCTAGTTTTAAAAAATGTTCTTATTTCTTTGTAGTTGTAGTGGTTGTAGTGTAAAATTAGATTAATTTTATTAAGTATAATTATAATGTTTAGTGTAGAATACCAGAAATAGTTTAGTAGTGTTTTTATAGTTTATTATTTTGTAGTTATAAGTAGTAGGTGAAGGGATAATTTGGTTATTTTTTCCTTTTGTTTGATTAATTAGTAAGTTTGATAATTTTTTCAGTGTAGAATACAAGAAGTAGTTGTGTAGTTTTTTTATAAGAGATTATATTAGTTTATTTTGTAGAAGAGTAGTAGGTGAAGGTATTTGGGTATTTTTTCTTTTTGTTTTTCTTCTAATTGTAGTAATTCTATTAAGTATTGTGATAGATACACTATATCTTCCTTCAACTTCGTTGAAAAGTGCGTTATCATATAATTTTGGTTTTCTGGTTGTGATATAGGTAAAAGCTTCAGCGATATAGGTAAAATATGTTTTTTTCGAAAAATTACAAGTTATAGCCAATTCTTTTCTTTCTTGACTAATTTCCATACCAATAATACCATGCCAATTAGTTGGCATCAAAACTGTAAAAAGGTTTATGTTTTCAAAAAAAAATATCGTAAAATTCGTAAAACACTCAATTTAGAATAAAATAATCTAAGAATGAAATGCTTCTTTTATAAACCTGCATTAAATCAAATTAAAATAGGTATGCAACTTTTTTTTAAATATTAATCAACAGCAATTAGCATTATCATAAATTATTATAAATAATGTACCAACATATCGAAATAATATAATTTCTTTGTTAATACGCTTTAGAATTCTAAACCGTATTAAATAACAGGCAAAAATAATTTACAATTTACAATAAAATAAAAGTTTCGTTTAAATTTCTTAATCATCTGATCACTATTAAAGTTTGCAGAAACCCGAGCTATATTATTACATTACTCTGAGGAAAATAACGAAAATAATCGATATTTTTGACTCCGCCCCGAAAGGTTCACGATTTGTCCTCCAGTTGGCAGCACATTTTGTCTAGTCGGTTGAACAACTTTAAGAATATATAAACAAGGATAAAACGTTGTACATGACACGTGCGTTTAAACATGATTACAACACTCGTGTGATTAGAACGACTTGGTCTACGACTCGTTCACACTCGTTGTTGTAATCATGTTCATAAACACACTTGTACTGTAAATAACTATTATTTTATATTCTGATTAATTCTAATACTTATTATTGACTTATTATAATATTAATATAATTAAATAACGCTTAACAATACACTTAAAAAATGTATTTAAGCCTTGTTATTATTCTAATTCATTTCCACTTCATACCTAACTCTACTTAAGAGATTTTGAATAATACTTAAATGCCTTAATCCTAATCGATAATGAGCTAAGTAACTTATTCTAATTCAATTCAAATGTCTTAATCATACTGAAGAATATACAGGGTGATTCATTACAAATAATAAGTATCCACTGTCGAAAAAGTTACATGTGTCTCATTAAGTGAATTTAAATCAAAACATTAAAAATTTATGTTTATATATAATATCATACGATTGAAAAAAAAAACTTAACGCCGTTTTTTTCACAACGATGGCTTGCATCGATCGTCATTCCCAAGCCAACTGGACGCGATTTTTTATTAGATTACATAGTCACAGGTTATTAATAAAATATAAGAGAGTATTATTTTCAATTATAATTAGAAATTATATGACAATATAGATATATAAACAAAATTTTTTGTTTTATTGATAAAAATTGGATACCCCACTGATAGTTGTTGAGAGAATATTGATATATTTATCTCAATCTACGTCAAATGAATAAACTTCAATCACTTAAGATAAGATGCATGTTTCAAATGAATAAAATTTTATTTTGATTTATGTATGTAAAAATATGCAACGGATATTGAATATTGTCAATTAAAGGATTAATACTAAATATATTGAACTATACCTATTAATATTTAAGTCGGCACTTCAAGTTTGCTGAATTATTATCTATAGCTATTAAATTTTTATTAAGATTTTGATTAGAACACAGAGTACAGTTTATCTCTGTTTACCAAATTTGAAAACCTTTGGAATCGATTGTGTTTAGGAAGATAACTAATAATTTGTTTAGCGATGTAACAGGAAGAACTAAGTGATGGGCATTACGATTCTTTTTAGTGAATCGAATCACACGATTCAATTGAAATATTATGGATCCGTGCTGGCCACGATTCAGTTGAACGAACCGTATTGTAAGCAATGAATCAATTTCCACGACTCTTTGAACGCACGATCGCATTGTGATCCGATTCAATTCTCACGATTCTTTTTTACGGCTCATCGTTCAAATCTTATGGATCCGTGCTGGCCACGATTCAGTTGAAGGAACCGTATTGTAAGCAATGAATCAATTTTCACGACTCTTCAAACGCACGATCGCATTGTGATCCGATACAATTCTCACGCATCTTTTTTACGGCTCATCGTTCAAATGTTATGGTTCCGTGCTGGCCACGATTCAATTGAACGAATCGGATTGCAAGGGAAAAACATTTTCCAAAAATACTCTCGATAATATCCTATATATTTTTATAAGATATTCTTTTAAAATTACAATGTTCACAATCTAATTTTAAATAAACATTTAAAAATATTTTAGGAAAAATTTAATTCTTTTTTTATCTATAACAATGAAGAAATACTTTCGCAGGTCAGCATTTTAAAGAATTCCACGCTCAGTATTACTCTATCTATATATTATAAATAAATAAATACCAATTAAGGCTTATCTCTATTTAGGTATATACAAAATCACAAATATTTTATGTACATTTACAATCAGTTCTTAAAAAAAAATATTATTTGTTAAAATTCCTGTCATATTAACTTACTGTGTAAGTCAACACTTAGAATTTTATCAATTTTATAAGTTCTTATATACAGGGTCCTACAACAGTGTGTAGAGAACTTAGAACTTAACAGGAACCTACTATATCACTTAACTTTATTATAAGATTCTATTAGAAATATTATTTTTGTAACACTCTAAACTACACAATGGAACACCAGTCCTTGAACAATTATACTTTTTAAAGTTTCCACAATTCATTCCACAGAGTTCTGGTTTTTTAGGTTCTGGAGCTATACTAGCCTTTAAAGGAAAGTCTACACCCTCAGGCAAAGACAGCATTGTAATATCGTTGTTCTGTCTGTAAATAATTAAAGGAGCGTTTGTTCTTGTTGTTTTTTGTTTGGTTTGTTTCCCGGCTTTGGAATCTTGCTTTTTCAGCAAGCGTTCCATCGTTTTTTTCTTGTCTTTTTCCCTTTTTTCGTCAGCTAACTGTTTTCTTTTAAGTGACTTAATTGCTGCCTTTTGAATAGCTTCAGCTGTCATTACTTTTTCCTTGTATCCTAAAAATATTAAAAATAAACACAATTAAAAACCCAGAAAAAATATGAGTGAGATTTTTAATGATTTAACTTCAAATCTACGTTTCATCTACGTCGAAATATACGTTTTTTGCGGCATAAACGGCCGTATCTTTTGTAGACCAACCTGTTTTGCATTGCACTAACCTGTTGGTAAAGACATCAAAGTAGGTGTTGAAGGGTTACCCTCTGTACCCCGATCGTACATAGCCCTTTGCCTGGCCGTCATCAAGGCGGGGTCTTTCGATTTGATTTTCTTAAGCTCATCATCTACATCTTCCAGTTTTCCCGATTCGATAGCCGTGAGCCAACGTTCTTCATCACTAGAAGCGCTGTCCCTTTTCTTTCTTTTCTTATTATTCGTACTAGTGGTTGGAGTGGTTACCGGCATTTTATTTAGAGGCAATTTCGGTTGAGCTTTAATCGGACAAGATTCATCAACTATCACTAATTCGTTGGATGAAGATCCGTCGTCTGAAGGTGCAGGTTTCGGTCTTTTTGATTTAGGTTTTTTCGATTTTCTGGGAGTAGATTCGTCTGGATCCATTTTGAGCTTGATTTATAAGGTTATATTTGGTGCCTGTTAAACTAGTGCTCTATTTCGTTTGATACTATTCTCTGGTTTGATATAAACAACAATTTTATAAATTATTTCCCTTTAAATCGTATTTGAAATATGTAAACATTAAAAATAGGGTTAAGGATTAAATCTTCTTCTTAACAGAATTAGTGGATATAATAAAATATGTTAATTTACACTGGCTAAGTAGCCATCTTGTCAAAATACACTATCCTAAAAAGAAGAAATTAGAGCTGAAAATACTATCGACAAAAATATATCGATTTCTTCTAGAGCTGAAAACACCATTGCTTCTCACGTAAATACCGTTTTTTACTCGCTCATCCCCTTTATTACTCATTCTTGTTCGCGAATTAGACTTATAAGTTGTTATTTAAGTATCTATCTTATTTATGATCTGTATAGTCCTGGTAGCTAAAGGCCTTTAAACTGATAAGAAGAAGAAATCGTTCAACAACTAACCTATTTTCCTATTTTTGTGCATTTAAAAGATTTAATTTTTAAAGTTCTATAATTTAACAAAAAATGAACAGAATAAATCCAATACAACAGTTTCACAAACATATACACCACCTAAATAAACAATTCTTAAGGGGCGTTAAACGAAAATATCCTATAAATCCAAAAAAAGCAGATGAACTCCCGGGTAAACAAACTTTCGAATTTAAAATACTCTAAAGTTAAGTAATTTTTTAAATAAAGTTTTTCAGTATTCTCCCAGTAAAGACACATACAAACGAGTGTTTACTTGGGGCAACGCTCAAACGGGAGCTTTAGGATTGAAAGGTTTAATTGATAAAGAAGTATTGTCCCTGCGTTATCCAAAACGAATGTATGTTGGAGAAAGGTTTGAGGTAAACTTAAAATATATTATTCAGTGATTCATATTTAAAGAAAATAAAATGTGCAGGTTTTAAGTGCTGCAGCCGGGTTTGGATTTTCTATTTTTGCGATATATAGTGAAACAAATGTAAAACTTTATGGAACAGGTTTAAACACAGATTGCCAAATAGGATATCACGAGGTTAGAAATGGACATCCTTTAGAGGTAATATTTTATCCTCAACCAATACACTTGCCCTTCAGGTAAACATATACATATCTATTAGTTATATTTTAAATTCTTTTATGCATGATATATTGAGAAAAGTAATAGATATAATATGTTGTAATATATTTAGAGATCCAGAGCACTCAAAAGTTCTAAAAGTAGTTGCTGGAAGAGCACACACATTAGTTCTTACCGAAGAAGGTGTTTTTACAATGGGAAATAATAGTTATGGACAATGTGGAAGAAAAATCATAGAAAATGAGGATTATCTCAGAAGTAACTTCGTAAATCACATTCCAGATATCGATGGAAGCAAAATCTGTGATATAGAGGCTGGACAGGACCATAGGTAAATAGAAATATGACTAAAACTTGTTTGTTTGTGTTTCAAAATTGTTTGTTCTAGTTTATTTCTAACAGAAGATGGATCAGTTTATTCTTGCGGTTGGGGTGCCGATGGACAGACTGGTTTAGGACACTACAATAATACCGAAGAACTGGCTAAAGTTAGAGGAGACATTGAAAATGAAAAAATTGTTAAACTGGCTTCCAGATCTGATTTTGTTATGGCTATAAATGGTAACAATATAATTTTGTATTCATTTAATAAAAGGATTTATTGAAGTGAAACTTCTATACCCGCGGTGAGAGTAAAAAATGGTAAGGATCGCGATGACACTGAAAAATATTTGATTTAAAGCAAAGAAAAGCATTATAATAATCTTGTTAGTGTACCTGTGTACCAATATCCTCTGGTTGTGTGCTGGAAAGTAAATTTTCATGCATATTTTCGTCAATCGGTTTGTAGCTTCTGAATATCGGTCTAGGTAAAGCATCTAGCTCATTGGCTAGCTCAGAATTAGAATTATTAGAGTTCAGCAACTCGCATTCTCATTGGAGGACATTGTCATATTTATTTCAAACCAATAATCAACGAGAATATTCGTATAATTTAACAAAATTACTGTAAACCACTATAAGTACGGATTGTTGGTTAGGTTCAAAATGTTTTATCTTTTTAAATAAATGTAAGCATTAACATTATCAGGCATTTTAGACTCTGACTGGCCGTCGAAAGGCGCGTGGTCATCGTGAAACAAGAAGAAGAAGATTATCAGGCATTTGTATAAAAGTGTGTATTTTGGGTGGTATCCCACAAAATTTGCTGGCTATTGAGGAAACAGAAAATGTACAGATTTCAGAAATAAATTGAAAATAATATTTATATTAAAAAAGCATTATATGTCAGTTATTCAAACATTTCCTTCAAAACCTTCAATTTAATAGCTGCTAGTAAGAAGTTTCATTTCAAATATGCATACATAATGTACACACCATAGACTTAAAATAAAATATAGACTACACTATTTACATCTCAATGCGGTCAAACAATCTTTTTTGTACACATGTTTACTTCTGGGTAGAGTCGACCGAGCCTTCCTCATCCAGCCTATGTTATCACGTCTTTAATATTATCAATATTTTTTTTTCTTCTTATACACATATATTGAGATATTAATACTACAGTTTAATAAAGTAGGTTTTAATATTCCATAGATGTATTAAATAGTCCTTATACTACTAAATTATAAGTCGAATACTGTTTAAAAAGGATAAGTTCTTTACAATATGACAACACCGATTAGAGGCGAGGGAGCCTATTCATTCATTATTACCTTGTAGTACGCGTCGCACGTGTGCGGTAAAGCCTTGTTGCCGCTATGTCCCCGGCTATATTAACCCATTTTCTTAGCTTGTAGTCCTTAAGTGTTTATTTTATTGACTTTTTCTGTTGAAGAACTATAAAATATGGTTCGCCAGTGCCAAATTTGCAAGAAATTTGACTTAAATAATCCATTTAAGTCTTGAAACGACTTTCGACAGGTAGGCAACTCTCAATTTACCCATTAGGAATCAGTGGCGTTGTTGTAGAAAGGCGCTTATTTAGATAATATTTTAGTAAAATGTAAAATCTGAATTTTTTCTCTTACATTACATTATTTACTTACTTACATTGTAACAAAATCATAATTATAACCCTGTTAATAATTAATAATGTTTTAAATAAAAATATATTCCGGTTTATTCTAAAATAATCTTCAGAATCTAAAATAACATACAAGAATTTTAAAATGATATTACATGATGAAACAATATTTTTTAATATACCGGGTCGTCTCAAAAGTGGCTCACCCCTATAACTTTTTATTTTTTCAGATAAAAAACAGATTTGTATGTTAGTAGGTATATGACATAAATTAGGATTTATTGACGTATTCAATTGTTTTTGGTCTCTTCCTGTTTCACCGAAATGATGACATCTTTTGATTTTTAAAGGCACCCTCGGTATATTGCTACTTTATTCGATAAAAAATGACACTCTGAATAGAATAACATATCATATGTCAACTTTTGACATTGTCGCTTAAAAACAAATCGTATTTTAAATTTCAATGCAGGGTGCCATGGTGTTGTTAAAAACACTAAGTTTTAATCAAGGAGCCTTGGAAAAATAGTTTTGATCGTCTAATGGGTTCCGTGTCTTGTCTAGGCCGGTTAAAAGATGTACAAATCGTATTTTTAATCATACATATGTCAATTTTCTTAAATGGAATAAGGGTGACTCATTAGCATATTTGGAAAAAGCATTTTTTTATGAATATATTGATACCACACGCTTGGTATTTCGAGTCAAATTGTCGTTATGAACCGCTTGTTACAATTACAATTAAATCATATGCGAAAATGTCAAAAGTTGACATATGATATGTCATTCTATCCAGGGTGTCATTTTCTATCGAATAAAGTAGAAATATACCGAGGGTGCCGTTTAAAAATTAAAAGTTATAGACATTTCCGGTGAAACAGGAAGTGACCAAAAACAATTGAACGCGTCAATCAATCCTAATTTATGTCATATACTAACATACTAAATCTTGTTTTTTTATTTGAAAATATCTTAATAAAATATAAAAAAATTACCCGGCTATGATACGGAGAGTTCAGGTGTACTTGAGAAATGAAAGACAGTGTTGTGTTTCTCGGCAGAGTCGTCAGGGAACGACCGTTACGACAGAGACAACCTGTCTATCGCTCGTGTCGCACTCGTTATTACCTAAAACAATAACACAACAATAACAAGACATTGTCTGACCGCATGTTCCAGCTATTTATGAATGAGATGCTCAGTCTATATTTTATTTTAAGTCTATGGTACACACTGTTTTTTATTTATATATTTTTTTTTGCAGAGAAAGGTGATGCATTTGGATGGGGTAATACAGAATATGGTCAAATTACACTGCCAAATAACGATCAACAATTATCAAACCCTACACATATTGCAATGTTAAATCCTATCGGAAAAATTAAGAGTGTTGCAAGTGGAGGATCGTTTTGCTTAGCTCTTAATGGTGACGACTAAATTTCTTTTTTTTACTTTATATAATTTTTTCTTCATTAGAGAAGGGTGAAGTCTATGTTTGGGGTTATGGACTGCTGGGTTTGGGACCAGTCCAGTTAACTAAAAAGCCCCTAAAAATTCCAGAAACTTTACTAGGAACTAACGACTTTCAGCCAACGTGCAAAGTTAAAGATATTACTTGTGGTTTGTATCATGCAGCAGCTGTAACAAATTTTGGAGATTTGTTTACCTGGGGAAGAAATAAGGACTGTTGTCTGGGATTGGGCAATGAAAAAGATCAGCATTTTCCGTTGAAGGTACGATTCGATCGAAAAAAACGCCGTCGAAGACGGCCGAGAAATGATTATAAACGATAATCTTGGCGAGGTCGAGCCCTAGACGTCATTTACTTGGCCCGTAATCTTCTTTATTTGTTTAATGGCTCTTACTGTCAGTTGGCCTTAAGAAGGGTTGTAATTTATTTTTATATTGATTAAAAATGATTTTTAAATAGTACCTTAATTAGTGTTAATTTTTGACAAGTTTTATGTTAATTTTGAGTAAACGACGCTAGAGGTTGACCTCGCCAAAATTATTATTGATTCTAATTCCCCAGACGTCTTTGACGCCGTTTTTTTTTCGATCACACGTATATTTATATTTTGTTTTTAGGTATCTCTAGGTGGTCACGTAACGAATGTTTATTGCGGGATTGACCATACGATAGCATTATGTGATCCATTTATTTAAATAAATTATATTTGTATTAAAATTGTTTTATTTTTTTTTTCTTTGTAAAATCAAAAGCTCTAAGATATATCGATATATTTTTGTCGATACTTCTGCTCAGGTCTAATTTCTTCTTTTTAAGATAGTATGATAAGAGTGAAGACGCTTAATTCTGTATTCTGTGGTACGACGTGTAAATGCCAAAAATACTGTTAAGAAGAAGAATGGGTTATAACCATGGTACAAAGAATACAAGGTATGATCGATAGCGGATCCAATTTCGTTCAGTTCGCGCATACCACCTGTGACGTCACTATGAAAATAATGAATAAATAAAAAATAAAGAAAGTTGACAGGATATCTGCATTTTTTGGGGTTATGGTTAAGAATTGTTTATTTTTAAGACTTTTTAGTTCGTTTAATTTAATAATTACTAAAACCAGCAGTTCTAAAAATATATTTAAAAATAATAATTACCTATTAACATGGATTTGTTCAATAATAGGTAAGAATACTAAATTTATTTCTATATTCGGTATAAAATTGTTTATTAGGTTTTTAGTTTGCGATGTTTATGGTAAATAATTTTCATGTTCATTGTCTCTGAATTCACATGAAGACAGAGATGACGTTATCTATGGAAAAGTAACCACAAGAGGAATTATTACATCATTTAAAAAATGTTGGGAAGTTTATTGTTTCCCATCGAAAAGTAGAAAATGCCAATGCAGATGAACGTATTGTAATTGTGATAGAAGTAATTCCAAGGGTGAAGTTTATTATAATTAGTGACCTGGTGCTTCTTTTTATATGTAGATGTTTCAGGTTTTGAGAATAAATTGATTGAACGATACCCAAAATTTAGAGGAAGTATTTGCATACCCAGAATATGCCCATCGAGGATTATATTATAGCTCAAATTTCCTTTAATGGTAGACAATTATTCAATGCAAATTAACTTTTTAAGTGACTGAAATATTAAATAGTTTACAATATGGTATATCACTAAAAATATATTACTTTTAGGTACAATTAGGGCCCGACACATTTCAAAAAGTAGAATATTATTTTATATTAAATGAGGTATTGTACCAACAATCAATTTATATTAATAACGGAGATTAAAAAATAACAGAATAAATAGTTCTTTTTTTTTATACTACAAAAATAAATTATAGAATACAACAGTATTTAAAAAAATAAATAAAAAGTTATGTCGCGGCCGAGATTCGAACTCCGGTCTCTCGCTTCCTAGCCCGACTCCTTACGCACTGCTCCACAGTAACTTGCTTAGCGATAATTCAATGACGGTATATAAACAAAAAAACAGATTTATAACAATATCTTGACGATTTGAACCATGATTTGAACTGGCGCGCGGAGCGTGCTGACCAATAGCGCCTGTTATCACCTGTGACGTAGCGACCAACCTGCGCAATATCATACCTTGTATTCTTTGTACCATGGGTTATAACCTTATAATTTTTAAATAGATTTTTAGCGTTTATTGTTTTAAAGAGATTCGAAATAATTATTTCTACGAAACAATGTCGTTTTCGTTTGGTGGTCCACCTAAAACTACGACAGCTTTTGCTTTACCGACATCTACAACCGTTACAAGTAGGTTTTCAACAGGATTTATATTATAAAACTTTACTAAGATAGAAGAAGATATATCAAATTTATATCCTTCTAGAAGCAGCCACTACAAGTGCTCCTACTTTACAATTTAGCTTCGGAGGAGCAACACCATCGCCTATTACTTCAACAGGACCCTCGACAGGTCTTCAGTTTAATTTTGGGGGTGCGTCAACAACTCCTGCAAATGCTAATACATCTTTGACAACCAGTTTTACTCCAATTTTAGCTCCAGCCAGTGCAGCTACTAATACAGGTAATTTTTTGTTATTATTTAATGACCAGAATGTATTCTGGTATTGATAAATTTGATTAAAAAATAGGTATTACATTCGGTACACCAGCAGCAACAGTTGGTGCTTCTACAGCTACATTTGGTGCACCAACGACGACATTTGGTACGCCAACCACTACATTTGGTGCTCCAACAACAACATTTGGTGCTCCAACAACAACATTTGGTGCACCAACAACAACATTTGGTGTCCCAACAACAACAACAGCAGCTGCAGTAGTTTTGGGTCAAACTGCATCAGTAGCTCCTGTTACAACTTCTGCTCCTAGTTTTCCTAGTAGATCTATAGCAGCATCTAATGTGTACGTATATAAAATATTTTTATAAAATATTGTTCTTTATTTTGTAAATTTTGAAATTTTGACTTAGAGCCCCGACAGTAACTACAACCACGACAACATCAATTCCAGCAACAGGATCTTTAACTTTTGTTCAACTGGAAGATCTAATCAATAAATGGACGATTGATTTAGAAGAGCAAGGAAAGTATTTTGTTAATCAGGCTAAACAGTTAAATGCTTGGGACACTTTGTTGATTTCCAATGGTGAAAAAATTTTAAACTTAAATAGCAGCATTGAAAGAGTTAAACAGCAGCAGTCACAGTTAGATCAAGAGCTTGATTTCATTTTAGCACAACAGAAAGAACTTGAGGAGCTCATTGTACCTTTAGAGAAGGAATTGGTAGATGTTCCAGTAACAGATATTGATAGAAATCAAATGTAAGTTAAACATAAATTCAATGATTAAAGAATACAAGGACCAATAACACCAGAAAACAAATTGTTAAACAGTTGACACAAAACAGTATCATGCCAGATTATGGTGAATATGAAAAATGCAGAATTAAATAAAAATTGCAATTTTAATTGATTCACAAATAATTTTTTTAAATTATTATTGGATGGATTTTAATTTAATTTTTTACATGTCAGTTCAATTTTATAACTCACAAAATTAATTGTAAATGGCACCAGATGTCAACTATATTAGGGAGTTTACAAAATTTAATTTAGTACTAACTGTTACAAATTATTATTATGAATGTGTATAGAGTTGTGTGAGATTTGTATTTATCGAGATCTTTTTTGATATAACATAATTTGGCAAGGATTATCTGGCCATACAGAGTAATTTTGCGCAAAGATAATAGTAAGAAGATTCTTTAATCATTTTTATTTTACTATAATAGGTACCAGTTTGCTGAAATAATTGATTCACAATTGAAGCAAATCTCTGATGATTTGAAGGAAATAATTGAGAATATTAATGAAACTAACAAAGATGAGGAGGTGTCCAATCCTGTAAGTACCTATCGGAAAACCAACGAAAGTTGGTGTGCACGCCATCAAAACATTTGGCGAATGCATGTCTCAATGTTGCCATATCAACTTTTTTTTACTTTGATTAATAATCAAATTCATATACCTGCACAGTTTTTTCACTTCAATTTTAGAAACGATAGGTAAACAAATATTTTTTTATATCTAAATTATTACTTTGTCTATGATTATTACAGAAACAAATTCTATGAGGTGCCTCTTCTCAGCGAAGATTGGCGATAACCACACTGAATTCTTCTCGTCTTTCTGCTGTTCTGACAGAGTATTTGGAGATTCATTCCGGTCTATTCCCTTATCTTTCTTACCCACAACATCTGTCTTCTGCCTGGACCTTGCTTCTCTTCTAAATTCTAATTAAATGAAGTTATTAGGAAGTTTTCTGAAAGACAGCTGAAAAATATAAAGTACTAATTGGTTAAGATTAGCCTTCACTTTTTGTCCGTTCACTTGAGTCCATAAACTGATATTGAGCGCAGCCTAAACATGCTTAACGGTCTATGTATTTTCAATAAAAGCCACATAACTTAATCAAAAATAATAATTTTATCTCTCTAACGCAATTTCAAATTTGTCAAAGAAAAATCTCATGACAATTGGCAATATTTGCCATGACTACCTTTTTTATCTCAGCCAATTCTTTACTTGATGCAGGCTGTCTTTTTTTGACCAGGATATAAGAAAAAGGAAAGTGCTCTCTAAGTTTCAAACACATTTTTATTTGTTAGAAATTTAATTTGGTAATAGTGTTGACATCTTTGATGACGTGTACACCAACTTTTATTGATTTCTCTATAACTGTTTTTTATTAATTATTTTGTGTCATATATTAATGTATTTATTTTTTTATAGATAACACAAATCAGTAAAATTCTGAACGCTCATATGAACTCACTCCAGTGGATCGATAGAAACACTGCCGAAATTAGCAGAAACTTAGAAGAAATTTCGAAGATTGAAGATGCAAACAGGAGGAATTTGAGTCTTAACAGTTCTCTGAATTTATTTCAGTAGTTAAATTAGTTTTTTTCATTATTTTAAGACCTTAAATAACTACAAAAGTTTTTTTTAATTACAAAATAAGCGTTTTATTATAAAAATTACAATACATTTTGAATTATAAAAAAATAATATTAATTAAATAAATATATACTATTATTATACTTTGGTTTCGTTTGTGTCCTTTTTACTTTTCAAGCTGGTAATTGTTTCACACAGCCACAATATAACATTGGCTGCATAGAAGCCTGTCAGTAAATGATAGACAATTAAATCACTGTCCGTTAGGTACTTTATGAAACCTGAAAAGAATAATATGCATTAATTAAATATAAGGATACGTAACGCCCATATACGGGCTGGAGCAGAATTTGTGTTGTTAGGCGCCATTTTTTTGGAGGAACAGATGTGTCACTTTGTATACGAGGTGCGTCTCAAAAATGGCTCATCCCCTATAACTTTTTTATTTTTTCTGATAAAAAAACGAGATTTGGTATGTTAGTATATGACATAAATTAGGATTGATTGACGTATTCAATTGTTTTTGGTCACTTCCTGTTTCACCGGAAATGACTACAACTTTTTAATTTTAAATGGCACCATCGGTATATTTTTCCTTTATTCTTATAGAAAATGACACTCTGGATAGAATGACACATCATATGTCAACTTTTGACATTTTCGCTTTAAAAAAAAGTAAAAAAACACTAATTTTTAATCAAGGAGTCAGAAAAATAGTTTTGATCGTCTAATGTTTTTCGTGTCTTGTTCTGGCCGGTTAAAAGATGCCCAAATCGTATTTTTTATCATATCGCAATTTTTTCAAATGGAACAATGGTAGCATATTTAGAAAAAGAATTTTTTACGAATAATTTAGTATCACAATTGGTATTTCGAGCCAAATTATTGTCGTTATGAACCACATGTTACAATTTGTCAAAAGTTGACATATGATACGTCATTCTATCCAGAGTGTCATTTTCTGTCGAATAAAGTAAAAAAATACCGAGGGTGTCATTTAAAAATCAAAAGTTGTAATTATTTCCGGTGAAACAAGAAGTGACCAAAAATAATTGAATACGTCAATCAATCCTAATTTATGTCATATACCTACTAACATACCAAATCTCGTTTTTTTATCTGAAAAAATAAAAAAGTTATGGGGGTGAGCCACTTTTGAGACGCACCCGGTATAGTAAATTTGCAATACTTACTAATTAAGAGTCCACAAACCATACTAACAATACCACATATCACCATGTATAGAGAGAACGCTGTTGCGAATTGACTTGGATACTGTTCTGAGATTACCAGGGGCAAAGGGGTTTGGACTAAACACCTCAAGAAGCCCAAAATCGCCAGAATTACCATCTTCCAAGTTAGAGACGCGTGGCATATAAATGCTAAAAAAAAATAATTAGATTAAATTTAACATTGAAGTTGATAAATAATTATCTCTTACCTATTCTGAACATCATTGATAAAAACGATCCCCAAAAAAATAGACTCCGACTTTTCATATTTGTAAATGCCGATACAACGGACAGTAGTATCCTTGATATGAGATCGAATCCAAAAAATATCGACATGCTTAATGCTATCACAGTGTGGCCTGCCCCATAAGAGCTTAGAATCAGGGGAATGATCGTTATGAAGCATATGTCTGAGGTAAACGCCAAAGACAGTCCCATAGTCATATTGAGGTACTTCAAGTCTTTTAGTAGAGAGTAACTCATACGTGAAGGTACTATTGGATCTCTGAAAGGAGAAAACAATAAATTTAATATGCCGAGTAGTGTTATTAAATATTTTTCATAACTTTGAGTGTTATGATTCGAAATTATTTAGAATATATAATAATACAGGATGTCCCAGAAATAAATGCAAGTATTTTAAGGGGTGGCAGATCTGCAAGAACGGTAAATTAATAGGATTGCTCATCATCATAAGACGTACGTTCGCCTCTTCCCGCGCTTCGGCAGACAATTGTGACGTCATTGTAATCCGTGTCATGATAGTCTGTATTATTGGTTGCCTATAGTAAACGTATAAAAATAACAGCTGAGAAATTTTGAGTTAATTATTTTGTCGATTTTAAATATGAAAAAGGTGTTTTTAAAGTTTTTAGAGTTATAGAATGTATAAATACGTTCATTTTTTATTCTAGCTTGTGACTATAAATGCTTACTAAGTGCCTACGATATTGTTTATTAATTATTTTAAAGTAAAATATGAAAGTACTCTAAAAAGAATGCCTGTAGAAGGTGATGCTGGGAACTGCTGTTTTTAAAAATGCATTATCCGAAACGCCACGAATGTTTGGGAATGATTCATCGGTCGCTACCATGTGAACTAATCTGTTCAAGGTCACATAAAACTTAATTCCAGTGCCATGGTGTTTCAAGTCATATAATAATCAATATATAATCTGTTGTAATTTGTTGTTTTAACTGTCAAAGTCTTGTCAAAACATATATTTGGTTATAAATATAAACTGGAATGCCCCATTGGTCGCACTGCAAGCACACCAATGGACTGATACACAAAAACGAATCAATCAATGAAACGCGATATAGTATCGTCTTTGTCATTCACGCTAACATTTTAGAATAAGTAGGAGGAGCGCAGGCCGATTATTAGACCGGGTCTTTAAAAACCTACGTCTGCGGTAAAAATTTACGTTTTTAATGTAAAAATGATAGCGCGCGTGTCGATTCTAACTTCATCAAGCGATGAATCACTCCCAAACATTCGTGGCGTTTACTATACATATAAGGTGTTTAAATAAACAAACTAAATAATGAAAGTTTTGCATATGGCAACCAATAATACACACAGTATCATCGTATCATGAATCATGACAAGGACGCATGCAGTCCTTTTCGCATGCACCTCGTAGACACTTTTGGCTGAATGAGCAGTCCTATTAGGTTAACTGTTCTTGGTAGATCTGGTCAAAAGACACATATTTTCTCTTTTCCATTTTTCAAATAACTAAATAATAACCGAGTTAACTTAACTTTGAAAATTTAAAAAAATAATGGTAACATTTTGAGAGCCGCCGACAGCGATCGATAATCAGCCGCAAATACCAAGCAATTACCAGAATCTCAGCTTGTTCGACGGCCAGTGTTGACACATCAACTAGAATGACTTAAAAACGACTTGGAAAATTCAGAATAAGAGTAAAAAACTTGCCCAACATTAGAAAACGGTCCAACAAACGAAAACTCCGATAGATAGCAAGCAGATCGATGTAATTAGGTTAGAGCGTCGTTTTGCCACTTAATCTAAAACTGCAACTCTACACTTAACACTCTACACAACTCTACACTTTCTTTCACTGCAATTCTTGACAGCACAACACTTACATGTGTATTTGGCACAAAATATATTCGTATGCCATCCGAATTATTTAAGATTATTTTTTGAGAATTTAAACTCCTCTGTTTTTCGAGAGAGAGGTTTAGAGAGGGGTTTCCAGAGGTTTATTGTTCTGATGTAAAATCTCAAATGAATTGGATAAACATGCTTGCTTCGTCCACGTTACCGTAGATGGAGCTAAGAAGGCTTAGGTAGGGTATATATAATAAATAAACAAAAATACGAGTAGGAAAAGCAAATAAAACCACATATGCTTATTCTTCGCATTAAGTTCATCAGACCGAAGGGAACAGCCATTCGACGACCGGTTTCGGAGATTTTTCCCTCAGGCCGACTTTGTTGTAACCCCCTGAATTCTCGGATCACGGTAACGTGGATGAAGCAAGCATATGTTTGTCCAGTAGGCCGCTGGTTTTAATTTTGGCGGTACGATCTGTGATTGTCACAGCTACCACTAGATGGCCTAGAGCGTCTAGCACTCTCGCCATAGTAGTACTTATTGTACTCAAATGCTATTCTCTGCTTTTCGTTGGTCAGATTGAGGGTTACAGCAAAGTCGGCCTGACGATGGAGAAAAATCTCCGAAACCGGTCATCGAATGGCTGTTCCTTTCGGTCTGATGAACTTTTAATGCAGAGAATAAGCATATATACGTAGGGTTTTTGGCTCCTTTTTCCGCTACTCGTATTTTTGTTTATGAATTGGATAACCTAAAATTTTTATCAGCTGATCTGTATAAATGTAGGTCATACGTTGACTATTTACATATCTAATAGAGGGGGCTGATTCTGATCTGTTGAGAAGCAGCTATAATTGTTCATTATTTCAATTTACTAAACTGTAAAAAAGGTATTTAAATATAGTAGACGTTGTACTATACTTAATAGTAATCTACAACACGATTAAACAACTACAGTGAATAAAACTAATTTAAGTGTTTTTTTTTGTAGAAATTAAAAATTACGTAATTTTTTAATAATTAGTAACGTAAGAGGTGGCAACATTGCATTCTCTCGAAGAACTATAAACAAATTTTCGGAAACTCTGAACAAGCGGCACTCAATTTTTTTCAATATTGTCAATGAAAAATATAAAAATTTTAACATTTTTTTCGAGCTATACTATCAGCTAGCACTTTTATTTCTGGCACATCCTGTATAACTATTCAAGCCCAAAAAAATTTTACAAGATTAATCAATAAATAAATAAATTAATACACTGATGGACATCATTCAAAACGAGTCACCTATATTTTGTGTTAGAAAAAAAAATAATAAACCTATTTAATGTATTTACTTACTCATGTATTTGACTTATTTTTCGGTACACAGAAAAGCTGCTGCATCTTCTCTCATGAATCTGTAGAGCTTTTTCAGCTTTCTCTGAATTTAGAGCATCTAGAAAAATATATTTTTTTAATTGAAACCTGAGGAATAAGATATTAATAAATTTACCATCTTTATCGTTGTTATTTTGAATATGTACGGGCACTTTGGCGTAAGTGGATCGAAAGCTGCTCAAAAAAATTGCTGATGGGATATTTAAAACGCTCACAGTTGCCATCCAGAACACTGCTCCGCTAAGAAAGAAAAGGAAATTAATTGTTTAAGTTACGGACAGTGATGTGTAATACAGGGTATTTACGATAATACCCGACCAATAACGTAAGTACCCAATTTCATCGGATAATATTGTTATAGCCCGCGGACATTTACGAAAA